CAGAGAAACCCCTTGTGGATTCTCAATACAAATTATTAAATAAAGATAAAGGCAAAACCTCACCTTAAAAAAAAAAATAAAAAATAAAAAAAAAATAAAAATAAATTTCTTTATATATAATGTTATATATGTCATCATAAGTTAATAACTTATCTCTGATTGGAACAATATCACTTGAGATAAAATATCTAAATACATATAGAAATTATTTAAATTTATAATTATTACAAAAAAAGATAAAACAAACTTTTTTGTTATTTCTGTAGGTATTTTTATTAACTGTTGAATTGCTGTAAGAGAGAGTACTTGTCGAACAAAATTTTGATTTCATCAATAATTTCCTCTAACTTTCTTAAATATTTAATATCACCATGACTACCAAGCACATGTCTATTATGCTTATACCAATAATGTATTACAACTATATCAAAAAAATTAGATATATTATAATAAACTTGTAAAGTATACTCGCAACCAATTTTTTTGAACTCTTTTTAGATTTGACATTTTTTGTTTAAGACACTCTCTTCTAACAATCATTTTATATACATTTCCTACTTGCACATGAACAAGAATAACATTCTGACCGAACCTTTTTCATTTTTATTTATATAAGTTCTATTTTTTTATAAAATTAATATTTTTAGACTTTTTCTCTTCTTTTATCTAGTTACGATAGGTATTGAAGGGCAATGCAAATTTAAGAAAACCCTCCTTTTCTTTGAAAACATAATAATTGCATATTAAAATAGGTTTGTATATAATTAATTAGTGTATTTATAATTTCTTGTGTTTTAATATTACTGCTATTAGATTCATCATTGATTAATTCTTGGCTATTTGATTCAGCCCCGGTAATTTTGACCAATCAAAATTTAAGATCAAGTGTCAAAAACAAACGTGTTTTGTTTTCTAAGTAAAAGGTTACGTGTAAACTGAAACACCAGAAAACAGTGTTACAATTAGGGGTAGGACTAGAATAATATAGAACTTATTAGGAACATTTTTAATTAGGCCGCAGAAGGTGGTCTGCTAATTAAAATTTAGATCTATTCTTGTTTTTTTGTAAAAAAAGTGGTTTCGTTTCGATTTTTACGCACCACTTCGACGTCGATCCCGGACGACTTTTCCTCCTCACAACATACGTACGTACATGATGCAATCATTTTGTCAATAATTATTATTATTCTACGTTAATTAGGATTGATGCACACTACTACGCAGAAATTTTTCCGAATACGTACACTAGTGTGATAACGTCGCTTTTAATATTACATTTCCATCTGATTGCTGAACCGTGAAGCAATAGCATTGAAATTTATCTAATATCAAAACTAGTAACTACTCTCATTTTGATAGCAACCACTTTTCGCTTTTTCGCTTTTACTACGATTCTAATATTCGAAACTTCCTGTTTAAAAGTATATTGTTCTTTTAAAATTTACTATGATGTTTGTCGTGGATTAAGTTAATTTAATACACTACGAGCTGCTTGCTTATGTCAAAATCAGAAAGGCGTTATCCGTGCATTCATTTCAAAAATGTCACTTCGGTGCCACTTAACTATAAAGCGTCCTTTGCTATTCTCAAACAATAAATTTCTATTTACACATCTTTTTTTCTAATTATTTAAGTTGGCATTTCAATTATAAATAAAAATAAATTGTAAAACTCAATCTTATTGTTTGTACACTAATATACGTAAGTTGTGATATAAACAGAGAATCAAAACGACGAAGAGAAATTATTTCTTATGTAGTATAAAAGCTATGCTGTCTTTATTTGCATGTTTGTATTCATGAGCTGAATGAAGAGTTTGGTTAACTTTGTGAAAGACAATTCTATACGAGTATGAAATGTTTGAACCAGATTATAAAGAATGTGTATGACAAAATCGTTGTGTTTGGAGTTACATATATAATTTCATATTACACACATGAGAACAGATCTTGATATTTTAAGCATCAATGATAAGATCGTAAATGAAATTTTGGGATTCCTTCGCTACAATAGACATTAATATTTTTAGCATCAATGGAAAAATAGTTGATTTTAAAACTGTATTTTGGAGTCACTTCACTTAACTATAAAGCGTCCTTTACTATAATGGACATTAATATTTTTAGCATCAATGGAAAAATATTGATTTTAAAAATGTATTTTGGTGTCGCTTCACTTAACTATAAAGCGTCCTTTGCTACGCTCAGACAATAAAATTTTTATTCATACATCATTTTTCTATTAATTTTACCATTAAATTCTATACGATGAGCACCAGGTTTCTTATCGACATAGCTGAAGATTATAAACTGCTTTATGAAACTAGAGAAAATTATGATGTGATTATTTACGCCGGCGAAGAGCCTAATGCCGAAGAAATTCATGCACACTCTTTGGTCCTTCGTACTAGATCTGCTTATTTTCGTGGGGCTCTTGCTTCTGGTTGGGAAACGAAAGATAAAGATAGTGGTTGTTTCATATTTAAAAAACCTAACATCTCACCATCAATTTTTGAACTTATTCTTAAGTAAGTAGTGAATTAATTATTATAATGGTTTATGATATTCAAAATAATCATACCATTTATGTTATCAATAACGTTATCAATAGATTTTTATACTGTGGTGAAGTAATATTTCCGATCAAGAAGGAGAGACAATTTTGGATCTTTTGGTTGCTTCGGATGAATTTGGTCTTACAAAACTTATTGATCATATTCAACAATATTTTGTTGAAAATCAGAAAAATTTTTTACAACAAAATCCTGTAGGAACGCTTCATATTGCTGCTCGTCATGAAACCTTTAATGAGATTTTAAAGTTCTCTTTAGAAACCATTTGTGCCAATCCTGACATTCTATTTGGTACAAATAATAAGTACCTTTCATTGGATGAAGATGTGTTAGTATTAATTCTTAAAAATGACGGACTTGAAATGGAAGAAAGTGAAATTTGGGATCGATTCATCAAATGGGGAATTGCACAGAATACTGAACTTAAGAATGATGTGACTGAATTTAATCAAGACGATTTTAATTTATTAGAGAAAACTTTGCAAGGATGTATTCAATATATTAGATTTCATGAAATTAGCATGCCAGATTTTTATTATAAAGTATTACCATATATGTCTATTCTTCCAAATAACTTATTTGATGATATTTTACGTTGTTATATGATTCCAAAAGCAGTACCTCTTTATAATGCATTTCCTTCTAGATATAAAATAGATTCAGTTTTAATTGACATAACACATGCACGAGTATTCGCAAGTTGGATTGATGATGATGATTATAAAAGAACGCTACCTTATAAATTTATTCTTCTATTTCGTGGCAGCAGAGATGGTTTTCAAAATAATATATTTCATCAAAAATGTGACCAAAAAGGCGCTACATTTGTTGTGGCAAAGATTCAAAATTCAAATCAACTTGTTGGTGGTTACAATCCAGTCGATTGGGATACGAATGGCCAGAATAAGTACTCAAATTGTAGTTTTATCTTTTCATTAAATGACTCTACTAATTTAACAAATGCCAAATTAGGACGCATTTCATCATCTTATTATTCTTACGCAATATGTTGCAATAGTAGTAATGGTCCAAATTTCGGTGGAAATTTGCATATTAATGAAAATTATGTAAATGCTAGTAGCAATGGATATTATCCCAATATTGGCATTCCAAATGGTAAACAAATTGAGGATTATGAAGTGTTTCAAGTAATTTCTAGAAACTGTATTGTAAATGATGATATTTTTAGGCTGTACCCTAATTATTAGACCTCATAATTTATTAGCAAATTTAAAATAGCATTTAAATTTTATGAATGTTATTACTTTTAAGTTTATTAATATTAAATATTCATGAACTTAATCGATTAATTTAAATACTTAGATTACACAAAATTAGTACGAATAAATAAAATAAAATAGTAAATTTTCATGAATTTAATCGCTTATTTAACTACTTAAATTAATAAATGTTCTTTAATTTAATATGATGAAATGAAATTAATTAGTAAATTGATTAGTAAATAATCGTGAACTTAAATCGCTTAACTTAAATATTTATACAACTAAATTAGTGGGAATAAAATTAAATCTTCATGAATTTGAATCACTTATTTTCAATACTTCGATTAATAATAAATGTCCTTTATAATTATTTTCTAAATTAATATGAGTAAAATGAAATTAAACAGCGAATATTCATGAGCATGAATAGTCTATTTTAGACAATGGGATTAATAATAACGATAAATTCTAGTAGTTTGGTATATTAAATTTACATTTGATTTTCAAGGGAGTTAACCGGTTTAATTGAACATACTGTATTAGTATTAGTATTAGCATTATATGCCACTAAGCAACTATATAACTGGAAATCATGAAGTTTAGACTGTACTGGTAGTATAAAAGCCTATTAATAATTCTAATTTTACTATATATATATATCGGTATTTTTTTTATTAAACCAAATTAAACTTCTGTATCAATATATAACGATAGTATATATTAGTGATACAAATCGATGAAACTTTTTCAATCGATTAGTTGATAGATCATTTTATCCAACTAATCGATTAATCGGTTTTTATTCAACTAATCGATTAGTTGGCCAATCGATTAATCGACTAATCGATTAGTTGACTAATCGATTGGCCAACTAATCGATTAGTTGAATAAATAATAAACGAAACTTGGTAACGGTAAAATACACGTAAGGTAGCAACTGAAACACCCGTTGATATTCTCATATTCAAATAGTTGATTTAATCGACCAATCGACTAGTCACCAATCGACTAATCGATTAATCGATTAGTTGGCCAATCGATTAATCGATTAGTCTTAATCGACTAAGTTGGGTCTGTAAAATTCAAATCGATTAGTTGTCAACTTTACAACTAATCGATTAATTCGATTTTTGATTTGTATCACTAGTATATATCAATGAAAAGAATATTCAGTATAGATGATGTCATTACGTCTATAGTCTGCAACCCGAAAATGTGTACCAGGTTGCGCTCCGGATGATCATGTGATAGTCCGGAATGATAGTCCGGAATGAATGTCCGAAAAATTTTTGAAGTTTGCGCGGTTAATTACATATATTTTTTTTTAATAATAATTTATGCACTTTACGCAAATTTACAATACATTGTACGTATACATTTATGAAAATTTAAATGCTTTTACATTATTATTAATTTTGTTTGTTTTCACTAATGTTTTTTGATAAATTATGTATTTTTTTGGAAGTTTTTCTTTTTTTGCGTGCTTTCATTATTGTCGGGTCAATATTTTCTTGAGAAATCTTGCGCTTTCTTCGTTGTACTGATGCTGGTTGCACTCGAATTTTTGCACCACTTCGCAATGATTCAGCTTTTACGGTAGAATTTCGTTGATAAAGATAAGAAGTCAGTTTACCCAATGATAAAGATTCGGCTTTTTCATATTCTTTCTTAAAATTTTCAATGCCGGCAAGTAATTGTCCATTTTGTTTTATATCATTAATAATACGCTGAAAAAAATTTTCAACTTCTGCAATACGAGTACTCTTATCCTCACTGTTATTAGAATCGCTTTATATGTAATAAAAAAAAAAATTAGCAAATTACATATACATTATCACAATTACAAATTATATACATACCAAGTAATATCATTCACAGTAGATATATCGATATTTGAATCTTGATGATTTATATCTGCACCAGCATTAGTGTTTTCATTATGCATATTCATTTTATTATTTTCGAATATAGCAGGTGCTCGTAAAGATGCATAGAATGAGAAATCTTGTGCAACCGTACCTTATAAATATTTACAGTTAGATGTAACAATAGCGATAATAATAAAAAATATTATTATTATTAATATTTATACTTACCACATGCGATATAATGATAGTCCATACAGTCATTAATCGATAAAGCTGGAATAAAATTAAATGATCGTTCATGATATTTAATGGCAACGGCGGCCTGATGTTTACAAGGTGACCCTCCAAGAGCGGCCAAGCATGTACAAGTACCAATAGAAAGATCAACAGTATAAAATTTGCCAAGAGTTGTTACACTTGGCACATTATATATATTATTAGTGGCATCGTAATGAATGCCTTCCTGGTTTACAGTATTCCAGCCAGGACAAAGAAACCGTTTTGACAATTCTAGATGGCCCGGATGTCGATTAGCAATACCTAATATTCGTCTCTCGTAAAAACGCTCCATATTTGTTACAATAAACTGAAAGATTTGAACAGCATTATAAGCTTGGGTTCTAGCAAAAATAATATCTTTAATAAGCCCAAAGCTGCGTTCTACATAATTATTTGTATGATTTCCACGTAACATTAAGTTTTCCCGAAATGATAATGCCCAGGAGGCCCGTCGTTCCCAAAGAAGTGTAAAATGTACCGCAAGTTGATTATATTTAGTAAAGTATTGTTCCTTAAATTTTAAATACTCTGCTTCCATTTTAGGGATAGTAGGTGCATATAAAATAGCTTTTAAGGAATGCATAATCGAAATCCGATCATTCTTTGGAATTTGATGTTTAGAATCATATAACCACCTCCACAGTGCCTGTAAAACATGAAAAACACACAACAATCGAGTACATTCTGGCCAACAAATTTCTAGAGCATTCCGTTCAGCATAAGAATCGTCGGTTATAATTACACTAGGGCCAATTTGAGGACCCCGGCCATAGAATGCATTGCCTGGTAATATTGTTTTAAGTAGATTAAGGGCATTTTCTATTGTAACTTCAGCTTCATCTGAAGTTAAAAATATTCCTAATGGTAAAGCGCCAATAGAGCAACTCGTATAAAGGAGAAACATAGATGTATTAAGAGGATCGAATGCAGCAGATGCGTCTAAGTAACAAAGTTCACCAGCCTGGCGAATCTTTTCATGTACCCTTCTCATCAAACCCGTTACAATGCAAAGAATAAAGGGAGTATTTTTTGTTGAATTATAAATTTGGAGAATTGCTTTACCATTATTTGTATTATTATATTCAGTAACCATTTCTTGTAGTCGCTCAAACATTCCTTTCCCATTTCTATCACCAAGTTGTGCAAGACGGAATTGATTATAAAGGTGCCGCAAAAAACCACCATCTGGATTCTTCGCCCGATCAGCTAGTAGACGTACAAGCTCATCATTATTTGTTGCAGATAAGTGTAATTTATCTTCATAAATATGTCTTGCTGTAGCTACCGTGTGACCTATACTAAATAAATCTATGTAACTCTTTTGAGTTTCTATACTAACTGGTCGGAAGCTAAGTGATGCGGCTGAACTTGGTAAATGATTATGCGTATAACGAAGATTAATTTCAAGTGGATGTGAATTTCCAATATTAGATTTTTCTAATTTAAAAGCAAGTGTTGCCTTACAATTTGTATCTCTATTTCGTTGGCTATCAGGATTTTTGATCTCACGATTTTTATTTTTTTGTTTGACTGCATGACTATGAATACAGTGTCTATTTTCCCGAAAAATAACTTTATTTCCTTTGACATTGAAGGTTTTGGTTAATCGCATGGTGGTCTTTGATATTTCCTGAAATTCGCTTAACCAATTTAAGGCACCTTCTTGGTTGTTAAGATCCACGAATAAATTTACATTGAGCTGTCCAATATTTACTTTTTCAGATGTAACAATTGGTTCTAATTCAGTATAACCTTTTATTTTATAAGTATGATTTGGTGGAAGAATATTTTGAAGTGGAGTAGGTAAATCAGCAAAGTTGAACGAATTAGCAAAGTTGAGTGAATCGGTTTGCATTTTTATATATTTATTTTATTTTATATGAAGCGAAATGTGAAACGAAATGTGAAGTGAATGTGAAACGAAATGTGAAGCGAAATATGAAGTGAAAGTATGAAGCGAAATGTAAAGAAAAATATAAAGCGAAATATGAAGTGAATTAATAAAGAAAAGAATTAACTTTTAAATAACGATAATTACTATTAGTATTGTACTGTAGTATAAACGATAGTTTATTTAATTAATCGATGATATCATTAATGATCGTTTGGATCGTTTGGCTCGATTTCCGGACTCATCCGGAGCACAACCTGGTACACATTTTCGATTTGCTATTGATTCGATAACTTATCGAATGAACTTTTGAATCAATGAAAGGTCAAAAATGATTTACATGCAAGTAGGTACCGGTGTGTTGGTTTAGATTTGTCCGAATTAGTCCGATCAGAAAATGTCAAAGGGAGATTTTCTTAGCAAAAATCCCATATGCGTACTATACGGGTCCGTATTATTTCACCGACAATCATTTCACCGACAGCTCATTTAGCCGACATCACGCCAGGTGAAATTTAGTAAAAATATATACCTGTAACTAATCAAATGCTTAACCCTAACCCTATGTGATGTCGGCTAAATGAGCGTTCGGTAAAATGATTGTCGGTGAATTGATCGGAACCCGTACTATACGTACGTACTATACGTACTATACGTACTAATAAGTTATATACTAAGAAATTTACATAATCTTATCTAAAAAAATTTTATCTAGTGCAAGATCATCTTATGTACTAAATTACATAAAGTTATTTTATTTTAATAACAATAGCGGTCTATTTCACCTTGTCAAGTAAACTTAAAGATCTTGAAAAAAAAAGACCCAAATTTTCTATATTTTCTATGTACAGTACATACGCACGTACGTACTGTACGTACGTACGTACGTAAAATATATTATTCTCATTTTTAGTTAACAAGGATTTAAAACATTTTAATTGGATGGAATATCACGAACAAATAAAGAATGCGGCGTACCTATTTATCTTCAACCATATAAAATCGAAATCTTTGCTTATTTTAGATACATATTCGAGTGTACTAACCTATTCTTCGTTATAGTCCGTTACAATTCGGAATACCGAGTATTCTAAAAAAGAATATAATGTAATGTGAGATTTAAGGGGAAGAATTTCCACAAGTAAAGATGATGATAATATTTTAATTATTGAAATTATTGAAATTATTGAAATTATTGAAATTTTTTTCTCTCTTTTTCTCTCTCTCACTCTTTTTTTTTTTTTGTTGATATAATTAACGATAAATGTTTCACTAAGTTTTAATAGCAAAACAAGAGACTATTCATGAACAAAGAATATACATACGTACGTACGTGCGTACGACGTACATGATTACGTTTTTTATATTAGTAAGACTAACGTTAATGTTGTCGGTTGCCGATTGTACACATGCTCATATTAAGAAGTTATGATTTTCATGTTACTCAATCGTTTAAAAGTCATATTTCGTGTCGATTATTGTAATGATCTAACCACAACTACATATTCTACATATTCTACATATTATATTCTACATATTCGATTATAATTTGCATGATTGGATGAAAGAACGAATGAATATTGACATGTACTGTAAAAAGAAAAAATTCGATTTTATCCGATTTTGCTATAACGTTTATTTTTATTTCCTTTATTCAAGATTTTTTTTTTTTTTTTATGAACAAGAAATTACGCGATACAACAAAAAAAAAAAAGGAAAAGCAAAAAAAGTCTAATTCAATACAATCAAAATTAAATTTATATTGAATGTTTTATATAAAAGTTAATAAATTTTCAGTACGTCAGATTAGCCAGAGAAAAACCTAATTCAGCATAAAAACCATATTTCATAATTAAACAAACATAAATCTCTATAAATTCGAAAACATAAAAAAATGAAATAAAAAAAAAATTATTGCGGAAGGGGTGGAAATAAAATGCATATGAAAAGATGTTGTATTATTGTTCTATATTTGAAAATAATAAATGCGTAACCTACAGTAATTAAAAGGTTTTTATCTATGAAAAAAAAAATGGAAAAAATTATATACAGAGATTTAAAGATTTTAAAGAAAGTTTTGTTTTTGTATTAAAGGGAAACAGCCTATAAACACGAATGAATGTTACCCCTTTTTTTGTTTTGAAAAATTGTTTAACAATTTGTTCAAATTAAACAAAAAAAAACCTAATCGAATAATTTTTAAATGATATGTAACGATTGTAACGATACATACGCGTTTGTTCCCACCCATTTACAGCACTGAAAAGAAAAAAAAAAAAAAAAACCGAAGAAAGCGAATCTCAAAATGTCCTTCGTGAGAATTTTTTTTTTTCTCATATATATTAAAATATTTTAAAGTCCTCAAATTTCTCTTTTTTTCTTTTTTTTTTTTTGTTTTTTTTTTTGGTTTTTGTTTTTTGTTTTTTTTTTTAATAACAACCCCTAAGAATTGTTGCATGATTCAACATTTTGACACCTTCAACTTCACCATCATATCGAGTTCTCTTAACTGGTCTTCCCAATCTATGAACTCTAAGATGTCTACGCATATTGCTTTGTACAGAGAATTTTCTACCACATCCTGGTTCAGAACATACAAATGGCTTTTCGCCAGTATGTGAATAGGTATGAATTCTGAGAGAACTTGGGCGCGAAAATCTCTTTGAACAATAAGGACATTGATAACGATTTCCACATGAAGAGCTACTTTGAGATGGTTGATTATTAATATTCTTTTGAGGAAAATGTTTTGAAGTAGCAATATTTGTGAAAACCGACGCATTTAATCTTGGGAGTGTAGTTCCAGTAGTTTGTTTTCGATCAAATGGTGAAATTGGATGAGGATTAGTAATAGAATAAGGATAGCGTTGTTGAATCGATTGCGAATATTGATAAGAATTCATTTGCACAAGATTTGATGAAAAATCGTCAGAAGGTCTTGCACAACAATTACATTGTTCTCCAGACACCTGCTGGAGAGTATATCTTTGCTCTTGTTTCGGAGAATGTTGAGCATCATAAGAATCAAAAGGAGTTTGTTGATAATTATGTGTCATATGCGGTGATTCCGGAGGGGAAAGTAAGGATTTAATGTTAATGCTATTATGAGAATTATGAGAATTATGAGAATTATGGGAATTATGAGAAGGAAGCGACATGTTTTTATTATGTGCATTGATCGCAGCTAGATGATGAGCATCTGTTGATTGTGGAGATGTGGAAGGAAAGCTTGGAGGATAAGCAGAGATTGGTGTGACAGGTGATGATGAATGAGAGAATGGAAAGCTAAATGATGAACCTAAAAAAAAAACTCGAAAAAGTTAATTGAATAGTTAATTAAATAACTGAATTAAATAACTGAATTAAAATTTTTTTTATTTACCATGAACATCATTGATTGGAGTATCAAGGAGAAGATTTTTGATCGAAGGGAGAGTAGGGGTTTGCATGTCGATATACGTTAAGAAATGTAGAAATTCTGATAAAAGGAATAAAATAATAAAAAAAAAAACAAGGAAAACAAAAGGACTTGATTTTAAAAAAAAAAAAAGAAACTGAAATAAGATGAGAAAAAACGAAAGCAAAAAAAAAAAATAATTTTAAAAAAATAGACGAATTTATAAACGAATTTAAAATATTGCGGTGAATCAACTATAAAGTTGTTGAGTGTTCGTACACCGTGTTGGAAAAGTTTGGAAAAGTTTTGTATTTATATAGTTTTCTAACATGCAGGTACCAAATGTAATTACAGTATTTATGATGAATTTGTATTATATAATCAATTTTATAATAATGTAATTTACTCATAGGCTAATCTTCATATGTTTCTTTACCGTTACGCTTAATAACTAATATTGATCTTCATAACCTTTTTATTTGCACACATTTCTATTCAGATCTCATCTATACACGAGAATCACTACGTGTCAAATATGCAATTATCATATTTAACATGCTAATCGACAAAATGATGTAGAAAATAATTTCTTTGTTTATGCGATAAATGTTTTAAGTTTCACCACATAAATCCACCGCTCTTTTGCCTGTTAATTCTTTTTTAAATTAGCACAAAAAGGAAAATCAATTTCCTTTTCATAGTCAAAACAGAATTAGCCGCCGTGATTGTATCTTGGCAAGTATTTCTTCTTATGGCAAGATCAATTTAATGAATATGTGAGCTGTTAGATCTTCGTTTTCGTTGTAAATGTGACAATCATGAGATTCATTTCACTTAACATTGTTATTTTTATTGAATTTTATTATTATTACTATTTTATTACTATTACAGTATTAGGATTAACAACCTATATTTTATTCGCTCAATATTCCATACGTTCGTATATTCGTATATTCGTATATTCTTATATTCGTATATTCTTATATTCGTATATTCGTATATTCGTATATTCTTATATATATTCGTATATTCTTATATTCGTATATTCGTCGTATATTCGTATATTCGTATATTCTTATGAATTTCAACATTTTTTTTCAATCAACCAAAAAATCTTAATATATATTTTAATACATTCATAAACGAAACCTAAACGAATCTTAAGCGAATCTTAAACGAATCTTAAAACGAAACTTAACAAACCTAAGATGTTTATCAAATTTCAGAATATCCTAAACAAATTATAGATACGTTTAATAATGTATGCGATAGTGGTCGTGAATCTTTCTTTATTCTGTAGCTTTATTTGTTGCTTTTGTAAAACCATAAACAAAAACAGAATACGCCTTAAAAAGAAAATAAGAAAAGAAAAAGAAAATGCGATGTAAATCTTTTATATTTGATGATTTTCGTTCGATCCTTCATTACAGGTGCATGCTTGTTTAATCAATACTTTTGATTATTTTTTGATTATATAATAAATGATATAACGCATGGATCTATGGCTTTTTGAAAATAATTTATCCGAATCCGGACCTTTAATCTTTCCGTGTGGAGTTATTGAAAGTTTATTGAAAGTTATTGATGATATGATACGTACCATACAAATATTCAATCCACCAGACGTATCAATAAAGAATGTGCATATCATGTATTAATTGGTAAACAAAGATCGCCTAGTGTTTTTAGTTAGGAATTTCCGGTCGCAGGAATTGAAAAAATTTACTATTCAATTTATAGTATTTATATGCACCTCCTGGCTTTACTTTGGAATTTGTGAACTAAACAAATATAAATATTATAAAATTGATAAAATATTGTAATTATTTATTATAATTCTTTATTATGATTATATTATGATTATATTATGATTATATATTATCACTGTTCATAAATAATTTATTGTTGGTTCAAGTATATATAGTATATATATATATAGTATATATATATATAGTATATATATATAGTATATATTATTGTATCTAATTTTACTATAACACCAAAAAAAAATTGTTGACCATGAAAATCTTAGTCGATGATTATCAAGATCCACATAAGATACGAATCTTTAGCATCAATCATAATTAATGTTTTACCGGGATTTAAAAATGGGGCTCGTGCAAGTTCCTTACCTTAACAGTTTTCTTTTAAAAGAAAAGTAAATGGTTTGATTATTTTCAATATATATTATGATTTAAAAGTTTAAAATAAGTTTTAAAATAAGTTTTAAAATAAGTGTAAAATAAATGTAAAATAAGAGTTAAAGAATTTTAAATGTATGCGCGTTTAATTGGTTTAATTGGTTTAATTGGTTGGAATGCATCAAATTTCAACAACGCATATACAATCATACACAATTATTTGATTCATTTGATCCAATTTTTCAATTTTTCCCCATTCTCTTTGGTAATCGATAATTGAATGAATTCCACTAAAACAAATAAATTATACATATATATATTTTAATCTCCGATCCAATCTTCGGACCTTGCGCCGACTAATGTAACGCAACATTTTAAATAAATTAATGTTATGTTTTTATTATCCGTATTGTTTCATATATATGGGTTTTGAAACAATATGAAACAATAAAGAGCAATAAAGAGCAATAAGTGTAATAATGTTAAATAATGATAAATAATGTTATTGAATCATCCTTAATAATTTTTTATTTTAATCAGTAACATTAAAAAAGCAAAAATAATATCTCATTTCTTTATTGTAAACTATTTTTGTCAGTTCGGATTTACATACGTTTCATTATAGTTTTAATTTTTCCAAGATGCAAATTACCTTGTACAACTTTAATGCATGTACATTATTAAAAAAAAAATCGGCATCAAGATTTTCTAAAGTGGAGGGTTATATGCTATACTAGGATCACAATATACACACTTATGCCCGTGTACAAGTGCTTTTCTCAGTCTCACATGACTATGATGCATTTAATTTCATGTGAATTAGTCGATCTTTTTTAAGTTTATCGTTATACGCAACCTTTTTTTTTTTTTTTTTGATCTCGACAAGATCGTCGTTGCAGTCTTTGCATGTGTATACACGTTTTTTGAATTTACTCTGAGAGATTACTAATTTGCTGTCGATGGTCATCTTCAGCATCTTCAGTGGATCCACAAATCCATTTAAAATTCAATTTAAAATTCCTTTTAGGAAATAAATTTTTGTATTTAATTAAAATTTTTGATCTTCTTCATTTATCCCATGAAATCCTCTCAAAAAACGTGTTGGAATATCGGTTTAATGGAATTTTTTTTAACTCATGTGAAGAAGAATGTTTAGACATAAATATAATAATATATACAATTGTGAATAACATATGATCAACTAATGGTATCAATAGTACGAGTAAAGTGAAAAAAAAAATCTTTTATTTTATGTTTCCCTGCCTTTAGATATTCTACACATGACTGAAAGTGTGGATCTCTTTGAATCTTTACATCCATCGCACCATTTTATTTGTTTATAACGAATTATAGTTAGCAATAAAGTTTAATAATAAGTAATGCATGTTTACTTAACTTTATGCGTGCATTCGTGCGTATACACATACCACATGACTGAATTTGTTTAAAAGTATTGAATTTGGTTAATATTATTGAATTTGGTTACTGTACTAGTGCAGTAGTGATAGGTTAAAATAGTCATAATATACGGTAAAATCATTATTATTCAAAATTGTCCGAGAATTTTTCTTTGTAGTTGATGATTAATTTTGCTTCAATTCATTTTATTTTATTCTATTTTATTTTATTACTTTATTAAATTACTTTAAATTTTTCTCAATGTCTCTCTATATGCGTGCAAATGATTTTTTTTAACAACAATATGAAACATAACAATATTCAGTTCGGATATGCATATATCTAAATGAGCATTGCATAACTCTGCATATAGTCACTTTTAAGTAATTAAAATGTACTGGGAATAATACCAAGTGAATTAATTATTGTTAGTAGCGATAGTGTAGGGTAATTAATTATATCAGAAAAAAAAATCCCTTTTTTTTTTTTTAGTTTAGTCTTGTCTTTTTCATCTAACCTCTAATGTAATGTTATATATGCCGAATTGCCGTAAATATTTCCTGTTACAACATTGCTTCTTCAATTCACAAGTTTTACTTTAATGATAAATCTCTGAAAAGCCTTACCCTTTTAATTTCAATATCAACAAATTGTACCGTAAAACTGCTGATGAGTATTTGGTTTTTACAGTACAGTACAACGGCTAATCCCGTACGTGCGTACGTACATACCTGCGTGCTATGAGTTTAACTGGTAAGTCAGGTGATTTTTATACTACATATGAAGCATACATGAAGTATACATGAAGCAGGAATAAAACCGCGGTATAACGATAACTAGGTAAATAAGTCCGAAGGAATTTGATTGGCTGATTGAGACAATGAACGCAGATCACGAATCAGTCGACCAGCCAATCAAAACCCATAATTTGGAATACTATCGTAATGTCCTTCGGACAATAAATACTAATAAATAATAATTGTATTGATGATTATTTACGAAAAAAATTCATAACACAGCCACCTCTATGCAGGTTAACTGTTTACAGTTATACAGTAATATATATTATTTATTACGTTAATTGCTATATACCGATACATACACTGGTTAAAAAAATTAT